AGAAGAAAGAAACCGGAACCGGAGCAGGAACAAAAAACCGTGCCTTGGGGGGTCTTATTTGGGAGCTCGAAGAACAAGGAAACCGACGCCGGAACCGGAACTGAAACCGGAACTGAAACCAGAACCATGATTTGGATAGGCTTCTTTGGGGCCCCGACAAAAAAAGGAAACTGGGACCAGAACCGGAACCGGAACCAAAACCAGAACCGTGACTTGGAAGGTTTTCGTTGGGGCCCCGAGGAAAAAGGGAACCGGAACCAGAAGCGGAACCGGAACCAGAAACCGTGACCTGAGGGTGCTCTCTCGGAGACGGAGTATGTTGAGTAGTGGGTGCTCTCTGGCAGCGGGGTCTGTGGAGTACTGGGAGCCTTCTTGGACACGGAGTCTGTTGAGCACACGGTACTGTCTTGGAGACGGAGTCTTTTGAGTACTGGGTGATCCTTTGGACGCAGAGTCCGTTGAATATTGGGTGATGATCTTCAACAAAGCCGGATTCGTCATCATTACCATCCTCTTCCTCATCAGCCTCGGCATCAGCCTGCCTCAGCATCAGCCTGCCTCAGCCTCAGCCTCAGCCTGCCTCAGCCTCAGCCTCAGCCTCAGCCTGCTTCAGCCTCAGCCTCAGTCTGCCTGCAGCCTCGGCCTCAGCCTCAGCCTGCCTCAGCCTCAGCCTGCCTCAGCCTCAGCCTGCCTCAGCCTCAGCCTCAGCCTCAGCCTGCCTCAGCCTCAGCCGCAGCCTGCCTCAGCCTCAGCCTCAGCCTGCTTCAGCCTCAGCCCCAGTCTGCCTTCAGCCTCGGCCGCAGCCTCAGCCTGCCGCAGCCTCAGCCTGCATCAGCCTCAGCCTCAGCCTCAGCCTGCCTCAGCATCAGCCTGCCTCTCTGCCTTCAGCCTCGGCCTCAGCCTCAGCCTGCCTCAGCCTCAGCCTGCATCAGCCTCAGCCTCAGCCTCAGCCTGCCTCAGCATCAGCCTCCTCAGCCTCAGCCTCAGCCTGCCTCAGCCTCAGCCTCAGTCTGCTTCAGCCTCAGCCTCAGTCTGCCTTCAGCCTCGGCCTCAGCCTCAGCCTGCCTCAGCCTCAGCCTGCATCAGCCTCAGCCTCAGCCTCAGCATGCCTCAGCATCAGCCTGCAGCCTCAGCCTCAGCCTGCCTCAGCCTCAGCCTCCTTTCAGCCTCAGCCTCAGTCTGCCTTCAGCCTCGGCCTCAGCCTCAGCCTGCCTCAGCCTCAGCCTGCATCAGCCTCAGCCTCAGCCTCAGCCTGCCTCAGCATCAGCCTGCCTCAGCCTCAGCCTCAGCCTGCCTCAGCCTCAGCCTCAGCCTGCTTCAGCCTCAGCCTCAGTCTGCCTTCAGCCTCGGCCTCAGCCTCAGCCTGCCTCAGCCTCAGCCTGCATCAGCCTCAGCCTCAGCCTCAGCCTGCCTCAGCATCAGCCTGCTTCAGCCTCAGCCTCAGCCTCAGCCTCAGCCTCAGTCTGCCTTCAGCCTCAGCCTGAGTCTGCCTTCAATCTCAGCCTCAGCCTCAGCCTCAGCCTCAGCCTCAGCCTCCTCAGCATCAGCCTGCCTCAGCCTCAGCCTCAGCCTGCCTCAGCCTCAGCCTCAGCCTGCTTCAGCCTCAGCCCCAGTCTGCCTTCAGCCTCAGCCTCAGCCTCAGCCTGCCGCAGCCTCAGCCTGCATGAGCCTTAGCCTCAGCCTGCATCAGCCTCAGCCTCCGCCTCAGCTTGCCTCAGCATCAGCCTGCCTCGGCCTCAGCCTCAGCCTGCCTCAGCCTCAGCATCAGCCTGCTCCGGGCATTCAAAATGTGGCCCGGGCCGGAACCAGAACCGGAACCGGAACCGGAACCAAAACCAAAACCGGAACCAAAACCGGAACCGGAACCAGAACCGGAACCAAAACCAAAACCAAAACCACCACCAGAACCATACTGCCGGGAATGGAGTTCTGGGAACTCGAAGAGCACGAAGTGGCCTACAGTTGGCTCCGGGCATTCAGAATGTGGCCCGGGAATGGAGTTCTGGGAACTCGAAGACCAAGAAATGGCCTACAGTTGGCTCCGGGCATTCAGAATCATTCCCGGGAATGGAGTTCTGGGACCTCGAAGACCACGAAGCGTGTACTTGTTGGGTCAAAAAAAAAAGTCCCCAGCACCCTCCCCCGGATCGCGCCCAGACCCGCCTGGGGTGTCATCATGCTCTCCTTTGACCCTACTAGAAACCTATTAGTCTTCGCTGTTAGGTAAGGAAACAGGAACCGGAACCGGAACCAAAACCGGAACCGTGACCTGGGAGGTCTTCTTCGAAGACAGAAGAAGAAGGAAACCGGAACCGGAACCGAAACCAAAACCGGAACCGTGACCAAAGGGGTCTTCTTCGAACCAAGAGAAGAAGGAAACCGGAACCGGAACCGAAACCAAAACCGGAACCGTGACCTGGGGGGTCTTCTTCGAAGACAGAAGAAGAAGGAAACCGGAACCGGAACCGAAACCAGAACCAAAACCGTGACCAAAGGGGTCTTCTTCGAACCAAGAGAAGAAAGAAACCGGAACCGGAACCGGAACCAAAACCGAAACCGTGACCTGGGGGGCCTTCTTCGGGGCGAGAAGAAAGAAACCAGAACCGGAACCGGAACCAAAACCGAAACCGTGACCAGGGAGTCTTTCTTCGAGGCCAAGAGAAGAAAGAAACTGGAACCAGAACCGGAACTAGAACCAGAACCGTGACCAGGAGGTCTTCTTCGAGGCGACGAGAACAAGGAAACCGGAACCGGAACCGAAACCAGAACCGTGACCAGGGTGGTCTTCTTTGAGGCGAAAACAAAAAGAAAACCGGAACCGGAACCGGAACCAAAACCAGAACCAGAACCGTTACTTGGAGGGTGCTCTTCAAAGCCCCGAAGGAGAAGGAAACCGGAACCGGAACCGGAACCGGAACCAAAACCAAAACCTGAAAGTCTTTTTCAGGCCTGGAAGAAAAAGGAAACCAGAACCAAAACCAGAACCGGAACCGTCACCAAAGGGGCCTTTTCCAGCCCCGCAAAAAGAAGGAAACCGGAACCAAAACCGGAACCGGAACCGGAACCAGAACCGGAACCGGAACCGGAACCGGAACCAAAACCAAAACCGGAACCAAAACCGGAACCGGAACCAGAACCAGAACCAAAACCAAAACCAAAACCACCACCAGAACCATACTGTCAACATTGGCCCCAAACCTGAGGAAGTCAATGGTGTTTGCCTTCTACTCGATGCCTTCTTGGACGCTCCGATGGGTCTTGGGGCACCGTCCAGGTCCAGGGAGGGGAGGGGAGTATGGGGAGGGGTCAAGACATCCTCCTAGATAGCAAGCCGACTAGCTCACTCCCACCCGCCCTCCCAACACATCAGTAACACCCGAGCCTCAGCATGTTCAGCGGTCGTCTTTAGATGGGCAGCTACTGGGAACCAGAACGAACCCCATGTGCGCGACGCTGGGGCGAGGCGCGCCACGCGTGACAGGCGCGCCACGCGCGCCGGGCACCCCTGGGGCCCGAGCGTGCCAGGCACGCCTGGTGCGCCAGATGCGCGACGTGCTCCACGTGCGCTCCACGTGCGCCAGGTGTGCCGTATACTCCAGCCGCGCCAGGTGCACCACGTTTGGGGCATGTGCAGAGTGTGTTCGGCGCGCCTGTGCACTTGACAGCACACATCGGGAAACATGTCGGCCCCCACCATCCGTTTCGAAAACCACTGATCGTCATATGCGCCACCACCCCCGCCGTCCCTGTCAAAACCACTTGGCAGTGATCGCTGGGTGGCTGGGCAGGCAATATGCTGATCCCCCCCCGTCCCCCCCAACAGAAACAATACAAACTGTTCGCGGGCTTCACGAACATGACTCAAGACTTTTTTCCAAAGTGTACTTTGTATTATTTTTGACAGGGATGGTGGGGGGGACCCGCATCGTGTTGGTTGCGCAGGCTCCGCATTTGGAGACAGCGTGTGTGCTTGTATTGTTTTTTGACAGGGATGGTTGGGGGCTGGGGATCATAATGTCGGTATTGTTCCTGGTTGGTTGCCGGTCGCCTGGGGGAGGGTGTGTATATTAATAGGGAACAGTGATCAAGCTACCCACAAGAAACAGGCCGTCTCGCGCATTCTCACCCGCCTTCCCAACACATAAGTAGCACCCGAGTCTCAGTATGGACAAGGGCCGCCATTGACAACAACGGGAACCAATGCAGCCACCCGCTCGGTACGCGAATCCCGCAAGATGCGTCGCACATGCCAGCTGCGCCACGCGCACCAGGTGCGCCACATTGGGCAATACGTCGACCCTCCCACCGTCCCTGTCAAAAACCATGCAAGGTGACGGCGGGTCTGTTGTGTGCGAGTGCGCGCTCACAATCGTTTTGAATTGGTTTTGACAGGGATGGTGGGCCTGCGCGCAGCAGGCAGTATACCGCCCAGCCCACCCCGCCGTCCCTGGCAAAATGAGCTTGGTTTCGTTCTGAGATGGTGGGCCTGCACACAGTAGGCAATATGCGGGCACCCCCGCCATCCCTGTCAATCACCAGTCCAATATGAGCGGGAGGCGTTCGCGCATGATCCTGATGTTTGTGCAAAGTGCACAGCAGGCGACATGCTGCGCTGGCCTCCTCACCGTCTCTGTCCAAAACCAATGTAACGCTATCGCGGGACGTTCGCGCATGGTCCAAATTTTGCGGCAAAGTGCAATCTGTATTGTTTTTGTAAGGGAGGGCGGGTGTTGGCCTGCGCGCGGCAAGCAATATGCCGACAACCCCGCCGTCATTGTCAAACGGTCGCAGCGCACCCGCGTATGCTCCAGATTTGAAGGCACATTTTTTTTTTGACTATGATGGTGGGGGGGTGGAGGTCATGGGTGCCTTCACGGGTCCGAGTTGGCTGCCGGTCGGGTGCGAGAGGGGTGTTTGATGATAGGGAACAGTGATCAACTCCTCCCCGAAGGGGAAGAGGGAAGAAGGAAGAGCAAACTCGCCAAACAACTCAAGCCTAAAGTACTGTCAGGATTTTCCCTTTCGCTCTTCCCCCCTTTCTCTCTCTGCTTCTCTTTTCTCCTCATCCGCCTCGCTCCGCCTCCACAGGCCACGGCCTCAACCACCTGGTCTGAGCTAGACCCGGTCGCTTGTCCGAGGTGGTGGTCGTTCGTTCGTTAGTTCGGTCGTGCGTTCCTCTTCCTCCTCCGACCCAGCTCAGGGCGGAGTGGCGGTGACGAAGCCGGAGGCAAGGCCCTTCAAGTTTATCGTAGACACGCGGACCGAGGAGGCTGGCACCCCACCTCTGACGGGCTGGTAGATCGCGCGGGGGGGAAGGGGGGGCCGCCATGCGCGAGCGTGGGGGATCTGATCCCGTTGTCGGAGGTCCAGAGGTTGATATCAACATCAACATCGGCGGTGTACCTCCACCGAGGGAGGATGATCCCGATCTCGGTGATGGTGGTAGTGTTCGGGCTTCCCGGGCTGCCGATATATTACCACCAACACCAAGATCTAAGATTATTTCTGCCCCAGTGGAGGCAGCCCCCCTTGTTCGAGTTGGTGCCCGTTTCCAAGCCCCCAACGCTGGGGGTGGCGGAGCCGATGCAAGGCAAGCGTGGATTCAGGCGCGTGGATGAGCGGCGCGTCCCGTTGCCGTGCAGAGTCGGCTCGCGCCGCCGCCCAACGGGGCGGCCAGCTGTAGCCCAGCGCCCAGTCCCATCCCCAGCTCCAGCCCCAGCCGAGGTTCATCTTGGGCATAGCCCCAGCTTCGCTCCAATCGGGCCGGGCGAAAGGGCGGGATAGGGAAAGGGGGGGGTACGAAATTTGCTGCATGCAGCTGGTTTCGGCCTCACCGAGGGGCCCGGTCCTCGATACATAGCCGCCTCCGGCGCCGGGAGGCGCCGGGAAAATCAGCTACGTGAGCTGATTCTCAAACCCCCCCTTTGCTAGCCCCCCCTTTCGCCCGACCCGATCCAGGTCCAGCCCCCAGCTTCGTTCCAGCCCCAATTCCAGGTCTGCTCCAGCTCCTGCTGCCAGACATATGGAACACCCGCGCATCGCAGCAGCAACGGGATCTAGTCCAGGGTTCTGTGGGTTGGCAGCAGACATACATGTGTTGTCGGAATTGCAGGTCGTTTCCCTTGCACTCGTTTCTCGAGGTCGCATCTCCCTTGTAGACGAAAGGTATGATGGATGACTAGAGAAACACCGGGCAAACGACAGTGGGCAGCACAACGGATACGCCACGTCAATCCACCATCATGTTTCACAGTTTTGCGCCCCCACGGCGGCGAAGCCATCGGATATTCTCGCCCCTTCATTTTCAGTCAGTTGTGGGGGAGAGAGCGCGCGATCCAACACACGTAGCTTCGAGCTGGCATGCTGTTGATGGGCTGTTTTTCCACCACCACCACCATAAGTTGGAGGGGGGAAGGAGGTGGAGGATGAGGAGGAGGAAGCAGAAGAGGGGGAGGAGTACCCCGCCCCCCCCTCCAACTCATGGTAGCGGTGGTGGAAAACCGGCCCATCGTGCTGCAGACTCCTCGCTCACTCCAACATCCCCTGCGCCTTCACGCTCCTACTCGGCCTCGACTTGCCGGGGTGCCCCAGGGCCCGGTGCGCCGCTCTCAGGGGCGCTGATGGTGGAAGGGGTGGGAGAGCGCGAGAGGGACGGGGAGGGAGAGACCACCAAACGAACTCCCCTTCTCCCTCCTGGTCATGCTTCTGCTCCTCGTCCTCGTTCTCCTTCTCGTCCCTCCTCCGTCCCCTGCCCCTCGTCTTCCTCGTGCTTCCCCTCCTCGTTCGCCTCCACGTTCTCGCCCTAGCCCCCCTCCCTGCCCCTTTGCCCCTCCTCCCGTGCGCGCCCTGCCCGTACCAGGTCCTGCTGGTGCCCAAAGTATACTACGGCCAGCGCCCCTCCCTCGCGGCATCGGCGCAGGGCCTTGCATCGCTCGTCGCAGCGTTTTCACGCGGAGGAAGGGAACAGGTACTCATACCCCTTACCCTCGACTCGTGTTCCACTCTCTGGGCCTCCTGGGCGGCCCTCGTCGCCACCGCTGGACTCGCTTCTAAGGTCTGGTCAGGACGCACCCTGGGAGAGGTCTTGGGAGTGGCGGTATCGATACCAATTGGTTCTCCCATCCCTGGTGGGCTTTGTCCGGGTTCGTGTGTTCTTGTGGAGGTCTGTTGTACATTGTGCGTAGTGTTAGGAGAGCAGCGCCCGAGAGAGGCTGTCCAATTGGTCGAAAATGGCTACCACCTTGTGCTCACCCCGAGGACGAGGAGGAGGAGGGGTCCAGTGCTTGATGCTCAGAGGAGCAACAAGCGATGATACAGATACGTTTCAACATGTCCTCATTCTCTCCTCGTCCCGAGCGGCAAGATACGAATGACCGAGTTCAAGTGGCCGATGGTGGCTAGAAGCTCCAGAACTCCCAGAACGTATCCTGAACCATTCACGTCCTTAATCATTCGTACTATCGTCCTAGGACCCCCTTCCGACCTACCTTCTCCTCATCCTCCTCCCTCAGAGTCGACGCCCAGACCTCCCCTGGGATCGCCCACCGATTCGATGTCGGCATTGGACACAGCCGTGCCGGCCAGCAAGCCCCCCAGGGGGCCCAGGGGAGGAGGAGGAGGAGGAGGAGGAGGAGGAAGAGGAGTAGGTGGAGGTAGGTGGAGGAGTGTGCTGGGTGTGCAAGGCATCTAACATTTTGTTGTTGTTCCTCCTCCTCTCAGTTTCCTTTCCTTGAAAATAGTTCCTCCCTGTCGTACCCCGAGGCCTGTCGAAAAGGCGGGTCGGGCGTTTCGCCTGAGACGTCCTCACAATGTTTGATCCTGAAGCTGCAGATTTGGCAACAGTCTTACAGATGGAGAGCTGGTCGCTTCCACAATGTGGCTCTCGCCTTAGCGCCGCGCACATTCGTTGCAACATAATGCAATAGTTTCACGTACTAAGGGCGGGCTGTTTTCAAAATGTCGTTATCGCATTAGCGCCGCGCACATTCGTCTTGCAACACTGCAAGAGTTTTACGGGTTGAGGACGGTTCCTTTCAAGATTGTGGTTCTCGCTTTAATGCCGCGCACATGAGCTTTAACACGTACTAGGGTTTCACGGATTCTCAGGGTAGCAGAGTTGGTGTTTGGGAACGGTTCAGGATGGCCAAGGCGGAGCAGTTACGTTGAGTCGCGGCAGGAACGGTGTTTTGGCACGATTCAGGACCGTCATGCCGCAATAGTCAGGTAGAGTCGTGGCGGTGGAGTCCCGAGAATGGTGTTTTGGCACGCGTCAGGATCTTCAAACGGTGTCTCCCAACGGGGCACTTCTCTCAGTGGAAACGAATCCCTGGGGGAGCCTACGACAAGGGCGTTTGTTTTGTTTTTGTTTTGTTTTGATGAGTCTTGGTTTCATACTTGCCCTCTTCCTCCTCCTCGCCCTCCTCTTCCGCTTCCTCTGCACGATGCGAGGTCTCTTTCCTGGCCGCAGTGGTCAAGCGGCCCCCGTTTTGGAGGCTGCCGCCAGCCCAGCGCGGCGCGAGCAGCCGCGGCACATTGTGCCTGGCGCTTTGCACGCTGCGTGGTGTCCTCTGCCGCAGAGACTGTGGCGTTTAGGACATTCAAAGACACTCCTCGTCCTCCTCTTCTTTTTCCTCCTCTGCCCCCCCCCCTTCTGCCTCGCCGCAGGAGGGCAATGGCTTCTGTCCCTCCACCTGCTGTTCCTCCTCCTCGTCCTCCTTCATTTCCTGCTGTACTCCTCCTGCTCTTCCACCTCGTCCTCCACCTGCAGTTCCTCCTCCTCGTCCTCCTCCTCGTCTTCCTTTTTTCCTGCTCCTTCTCGTGCTCCTCCTCCTCCTCCTCCTCCTCCCCCTCCTCCTCCTCCTCCTCCTCCTCCTCCTCCTCCTCCTCCTCCTCCTCCTCCTCCTCCTCCCCCTTCTCCTCCTCCTCCTCCTCCTCCTCCTCCTCCTCCTCCTCCTCCTTATCCTTCTCCTCCTCCTCCTCCTCCTCTCCTTCTCTTACTGTTCCTCTTCCGTCTCTTCATTTTCCTCGTCCTTATTCTCTTCTTTATTCATCTTTCTCCACCTCCTCCCCTTCTCCACCCCCCGCATCCCTGGCCGCGGTGGAGAAGGTGTTCCTCCTGTTCCTCCTGTTCCTCCTCCTCCTCCTCCTCCTCCTCATCATCATCCATTTGTTCCCCCTCTACTGCTTTCCCCGCCCCCCCCCTCCCGCCTGGGGAAGTGGTGTCCTGGTCCTCCTCCCCAACGAGGTGGATGGCGACGAGCCCCCCCCTTCCCCCCGGAACGCCCAGGCAGGCCGCTTGGCCCACAGTTTGCCAGAAACGTGCAGGATTTCGACCTTCGACGATCGCGGAGGAGGAGGAGAAGGAGGAGGAGGAGGAGAAGGAGGAGGAGGAGGAGGAGGAGCGGGAAGAGCTGAGAGGTGGGGTCTGCTCCCCTCGGGTGCAACGCCAGGGGGGTGAAGGGCTCGGTAGGGGGACGAATCGACCCCCGATCGCCCGCTCATCGCCGGTGAGGGCCCCGCAGCCACCCCGCCCATCAACCAGCGGATTCGCGGTCATGAGTCCCCTCGCAGGTCTGGCGGCGATGCGCGTGTCGCCGATTCCATTTCGGTGCTCCACCCCTCCCTGAGCCACTGCCCCCTGCCGATGCTGCCCCTGAGAGCGGCTGAGAGGCGGAGCCGGCCTGGCCGTTCGATCGCCTCCGTCGCCGTTCGCCGCTTCCCGCTCGGCGCTCGGCTCCATTGAGCTCCCGGGGCGCACGCGCCACGGGTTCCTCGTGCCGTCGTCGTCGTCGTCGTCGTCGTCGTCGTCGTCGTCGTCGTCGTCGTCGTCGTCGTCGTCGCGCCCTCCTCGGCGCCTCAAGCACTCGCTGCTCGCGGCCATCTCGGGTGGCCGGGGCGGGCCCCCAGCCTGCTTCGAAGGCGCACTTGCTCTGCTGCGCGCCGAAGCATATTCGACTCGAAATTTGTGATCTCGAAGCTTGGGGCAGCCTTGCAGCCATGAGGCAATGCAAATGCACATAATGACTAGGAGAACGCGTGTGCTGCTTCGAAGGCACCGAGCAGAGTTATACTCGAAACAGCTGGTTCCGTATACGGCAAGTGCTGTCGCATATCGATCGGGGTCCCCCAAACGGGGCGGTGACCACACCGTGCGGTGAGTCGGTGGGGATTCTGGGTCACCGCACGGTTTTGGGACTCGGGTCGTCCTCCGATGATGTCTCGGGCGACTGGGGCCTCCTGGGTCCCAAAACCGTGCGGTGACGGACTGTGCGGTGAGGTCTGGGGGGATGTCGAGGTCACCGCACGGTCCGTCATCGTACCGGTTCGAGACTCCAAAATCGAACGTGTGCTCCATTTGATATCGATACTCTGGGCAGCCACGTAGCCTAGAAGCAGTGAGCATGGAACAGTTGACCAGAAGGCCACACCTGCAGCCTCGAGGGCGCCGAGGTTGATAGACAAGCAGAGCTACATTCGAAATCATACATCGACACTGCAACTGCTGATGCGTGCTGGATCATTAGTCGACTTGATCTCGAGAGGTGAAGCAGCTACAGAGTCCTGGCGGTCACACCGGATCAAAAGACATCGAGGGCGCCGGTATCAGAACAACAGCATGTCGAACAGAGAATCTCGAACAGAGAATCTGTGTTTTCACGGCAGGATGCTCGGATAGCTTCTGGTTGCAACCAACGTCGACGTCGTACCGCCAACACATAGTTTTGGAGCGCTTGCGGGCTAATTGGCCAGGAAACTCTCGGTGGGTCTTGCGGTAATCTTTGCCCTGTTGAGGAAATGCGGTTCGATGTGTGACACTTTGTTAGGGCTCTAACAGTTCTTCCATGCAGCTAGGATCTAGGGCTTTTGCCAGTTTGGTTCCAGATTAAGTAAAGCATTTCGAAGGATGCAATCTGACATGAGGGGAGCCCTCCTTGGAGGCATATGATCTGCATGTGGATGTTTTGTTTCTTCATTTTGATGTCGAACATCAGAGCAGCTGCAGAAGTTTCCCTGGCAGACGCTCCATCCTCGATGAGGAGGAGGCGGAGGAGCAGAAGGAGGAGAGGGGCACGTTCCAGGAGACGCCTGGCTTCTAGTTTGATTAACCCCCCGGGGCCGACTGGCCCTTGGGGGGGAGGGCAGCATCCGACGGATTCTCTGGCCTCCAGTGCTCCAGTGCTCCCAGGATCGAGCAGTGGCGATGCGTTCTGTCTTGCCTACAAGCACACCAAACAATGTTCAAAGAACCTTGTATGGTCTGCTCGAGAGACTGTCTTGTGTCAGCTTGTCGGGCCTGTGTTCTGAGGAGAGCGTTCTCCTTCTTGGAGCAGCTCGTGGGTTCTATAAGGAACATCTCGTGGACGGCCGATCCCCGAGGCCGAGCAGCCGGGGTCGGCGGTCCCACGGGTGTCTCCCGTCCGGCCCTCCCCCCCACGCACCCGCCGGCGGGCCGCCCGCGCGCGCGCCAGAGCCGCTGGTGATGTCCCTCCTGCCGGACAACAGCTACGGGCGACCCCCACCGCCCGACCACGGGGGGGAGGTAGTCCTGAATCCCCTCGTCTCCCTTCTGCTTCTCCTCTCCTGTACACCTTATGCGATGCTTAAGAAAACTTAATTTTTCGGCCAGAGTCTCGATTATTCTTAACGTTTTAATGTAAATCTTAAGATTATAATAGACATGTTGGGTTTTTATTCAAGTTCTGAGACTATGAATTTGTTAACCCATGATTTCTTAAGCATTTCGCAGGGTGTACTGGGGTTGCCCCGAGACAGCACCCGCCCGTTCTTGCTCAGAATGGGCCCGTTCTCGACCAGAACGGGGCCGTTCTGGTCTAGAGCGGGGGGTCGGTTCAGGCTTGCAATTGACCTGGATATGGGCTTGAGCTGAAGCCGATGTGGGCGCCAGAGTGGAGCTGGATCTGGGCTGGAGCTGGAACTGAAACTGGGATGGTTCTGAAGCTGGAACTGGAGCTCGAACTGGGCAGGAACTCGGCCCGATCTGGACATGATTAGGGTGGGTCTTGAGCTAAAGCTGGGGCTGGGGCTGGGGCTGGAGCGGAACTGGAGCTGGAGCTGAGGGTGCAGCTGATGCTGGAGCTGGTGGGGGTCTGGATCTCGAGCTATGGAGCTGGATGTGGGACACAGTTGGAGGTGAAACTGGAGGTGGACCTAGACCTGGAGTTGGGGCGGGAGTTGGGGCTGAAGTTCGAGCCGGATCTGTGGCTGCATCAAAGCTGGAGGTGCAGCTAGGTTTGGGGTTGAAGCGAAGCAGGAGGCGAAACTGGACGCGGGTGCCCCGCGCGGAACGTATCCATATGCGTATCCACGGGATCTCGTCCCGAGTTTGAGACCGCGAAGGCGTGGCTGTGGGGATATGTTCGCCGCTCGTGACGTGCCTTCGCGCGTGACGTCCTTCCTCCCTCGTGGGTCCCAGCCGCTCCCCGTCGCCCCAGGGCGCTCTGCAAGATGCAGAAGGACGAGGCTCGGACAGTTGACTGTAACTGCTCCGTGCTGGAGGACCCGGACGCCGCCCCCGGGCCCGGAAGCGGTGCACGGTGGGGGTTGGGGTCTCGAGAGACGGGGGTCAGTGCAAACGGGGGTCGGTCAGAACGCCAGATCTTGCAGGATCCTGCAGGGCCAGGGGTGCACTGACCCGTGCCTGGGAGCAGGATCCTGCAAGGCCTGATTGACCCGGGTCTGGATTAGGAGTAGGATGGCGGAGGATGAGGAGTAGGATGGCGGAGGAGGAGGAGGATGGGGGGCGAGGAGGAGGAGGAGGAGGAGGAGGAGGAGGAGGAGGAGGAGGAGGAGGAGGAGGAGGAGGAGGAGGAGGAGTAGGTCCCCGCGATTCGTGGACGTCGATGTCCGCCCTGGTGAGCGGTCAGGGGCAGCGTTGGCGGGGTGAGGAATGCGTAGACCGTTCTCGGTGTTCGGGGGCCACCGTACGTGCTCCCACAGACTTTCCCGGGCTGCTCTTCAGCGCGAGGGGGGCAGGGATTGTCGGGGGCGGAAAAGAGGGGGGTGATGACTAGGGGGGGTGGATTTCATGGCGCGGGCCATGATTTTTCCTCAGATTTCATGGCGCCTCTTCTTATTTCATTACGTCCCTGGCCCCCCCGCTGGGCCGCGCACATGCCGCCGGTCATGATTTGCACCCCCCCCTCTTGGACACCCCCCTCTTTGCCGCTCCCGAGATTGTCCCCAGCGGCCGCCGGAGGCCCGAGCTATGACCCGAAAGCCAGACGGGGAGGATCACTGGTTCATGGGAGGTGCGTGGACCTCGAGCAGCCCACTCACTGCCGGTGCGGGTCCGATGGACCATCCCGCTCAGCAGCGTGCAGAGTCGCTATCGCCGATCTATCGGCGATACATCGCCGATTCCTGCCCGGAGTTCACCCCCCTAAGCCAGGGGCGGGGCCTTTTCGGCGGCGGCGAGAAGTCAGGGGAGGTAATGAGGTAATGACACCCTTGCGGCGGAAGACCTGGAAGAGCCTTGCACTGTTCACGATGTGGGTCCGCGGTGGGCTACCGATTTCGGGGGCCAGGGCTCTCTCACTGGGTGTTCGAAGAAGCATCGGTCGTTGAAAGTATGTATTTCTGGAGTCCCAGATTCCAATCTACTCCAAGCGCATTCCTACTTCAATGATCGAGTGGTTTCTCCCTTTCCGTACTCGTTTAGGGGGCGGGCGGAACCCAATCTCTTTTCAACGCCTTCCTACTTCATGTTTCTATCTACTTCTCCTGACCGATTGGTACTCAAGATGTTTCAATACGCACCATCCCCATGCCACTCGGCCCGATGACCCGTTCCAGCTGCCCCACGTGCGCCGAACCAACCCACTCACGCGATCCAGCCTTCCTACGCCCAGCGCCGGACAGGCCCACTCTACCCCCCCTCACCTGGTCCATCCTCCCACGCTTAGCAACTCGGAGGGCAGACAGGCTAGCCAGGGAAGCATGCGGATTCCGACTTTCTGGCATCCTGTTCCCCTCTACTGGCCCTCAGCAGGGCCCTCGGCTCTGTACCCGCGGGCGTGCGTAGACGAAGATGGGCATACCAGTTCAGGCCTTTGGCTGCAGGAGTGGCGAAGACCATCAGAGGATGCACGACGAGAAGCGCACAGTGACTTACCTGGCACTCACACGTTGATGAAGTGTCACACCCACCTTGAGACGCCTGGAGCCAACCTTGAGAAGAAACAAGAACTCATGGTCAGGATTCAGGAGGGAAAAAAACACACAGACACAATTAATCGTCGATTCTCCAGAAAATATGGGAAAATATGGGAAGTGGGGGGGAAGACAACAACCCAGAAAATATGGGAAAATATGGGGTATATTTTTATTTGTGTGTATTTATTTGTGTGTCCTGGGGGACATTCAAGGATGCAGCCCAGGCAAAGGTCCGCGGAGTAGCGGTATCGTGGAAGTCGTAGGTCGCGATCCGCTCGGGTGGGCAGTTCGGGGGCGACGGCACGGGTGGACGGGCTCAGGAGGGGAGAGGGCGACGGGAGGAGGAGAGGGGGGAGGAGGAGGAGGAGGAGGAGGAGGAGGAGGAGGAGGAGGAGGAGGAGGAGGAGGAGGAGGAGGAGGAGGAGGAGGAGGAGGAGGAGGAGGGGGGGGAGGAGGAGGAGGGAAAGAACCCCTACATACCCCAGTGCCCCCATGGAGCGCCCCCCAAAAACCTCCGAACCAACCTGTAAACTTCAAAGGCTGCTGAACCTCTTGAACATTCAGCCCCGAAGAGCCCCCCCCGAAGTCCTCTGCAGTCCCAAACATATGATGGAGGACCGCGTTCTGACCAGGAGGTCGAGGCGGATCGACGAGGGCCCAACAAGAGGCTCAAAGTGTCAGGCAACAAGTCAGACAACTTCAATGTCCCGAGGAGGAGGAGGACGAGGAAAAGGAGGACGAGGTTTTCAAGAAGTAGCGAAAGGAACGGAACGGCATGCTCCCAGGGGGGCTTAGCACTCAGTCCGCCGTAACGGAGGATGCGGAAGGAGGAGGAGGAGGAGCAGGAGGAGGAGGGAGGAGGGAGGAGGGAGGAGGGAGGAGGAGGGAGAGCGAGGAGGAGGAGGAGAGGAGGGCCGAGGAGAGGGAGGAGGAGGAGGAGGAGAGAGGAGGAGGGAGAGGAGGAGGAGGAGGAGGAGGAGGATGGAGGAGGAGGAGGAGGAGGATGAGGAGGAGGAGGAGGAGGAGAGGAGGAGAGGGAGGAGGAGGAGGAGGAGGTGATGGGTGAGAAGGAGGAACAGGAGGAGGAGGAGGGCGGATGAGGAGGAGGAGGAGGAGGAGGAGGAGGAGGGCCGAACAGGAGAGACGGTGAGGGAGGGCGGGGGAGAGGAGGGAGGAGGGAGGAAGAGGGAGGAGGAGGAAGGGATGAGGGAGGAAGAGGGAGGAGGAGCGAGGAGGTGGGGGGAGGAGCAGGAGGAGGGCGGAGGAGGAGCGCGGAGGAGGAGGAGTAGGAGGAGGAGGAGCAGGCCGCGTTGCCTCCGTGGCGCCGCACCCAACTCGCCTGGCCTCAGGACCGGATGCTGCTGCCCCTGAGGCTTGCCTTCGGAGGCCGAAACGGGGAGGGTGGGGGAGAGCGGGAAGGAGGAAGAGCGACCCCACCACCAGCGGGCCAAGTGCATCAAGGGTATGCACGATGAGGCTCTGAGCGAATGAAGATGGGTCGAGCGGGGCGACGCGAAACAGGGGGCCGCACAGCCAGGAGGGCTCTCCCTGACTCCTCTCGATTGCAGTGGTGCGCACATGTTCTTTGTGCCCATGGAGAGGATGAGGAAACTGAGCAGGAGGGAACAGGAGAAGGAGGAGGAGGAGGAGGAGGAGGAGGAGGAGGAGGAGGAGGAGGAGGAGGAGCAGGACCAGGAGGGACACCCGCTCGGAGCGCTGCACAGGAGGAGCAGGAAGGAGCCCCCTGTGTTCCTGAGGAGTCCCTCCTCTCCCGCCGGCGACACAGGGGTGACGTGCACAAAGGGAGGCCGTCTGCCTTCCGGACCTGCCGGCCGCGGCCCGTGACCCAGGCGACAGAAGGGCAAGCGCGGCGGCGACGAAACACCAGCATCGCCGGGGAGATGCTCTCCCCCCCGGACACCAGGCGCTTCAATTTTGTCGACGCGTGGACCCCCAGGGCCAGCTTTCCATCCCGGGTCGTCTGTGGACGGTCTTGGGCCGGGTGTTGCCAGAAGTGCCCCTGGCCCAAGGTGCTCCCAGGATCTCCAAGGGAGGCCCCCCGCTCCTTCCACAGGGAGCCAACAGCTGGTGGCACCGAGGGCCCGGGGCGCCCCGAGCCGCCCCCGACCCGGTCCCGCTGAGGGCCGCTCCCAGATCTTCGGAGCCTCGGATCTCCGGGCCCTGCTCGGGGCCTGGATCGGCCTCTGGCCGGGCCCCGCGCAAGCGGACGCCTGGCGCCCCCGAGAGGAGGGGGGGCAGCACGAGGAGCTGCTGGTCAGCGTGCCCAACCAGTACGATCGGCATCGTACAACCAACAAATAGGCCTTCTGCCGATGCAGGCCCTCCATCGCGCCCGCGCTCCACGAGGAGTCGAGTACGGAGTAGGGGATCGTCTACAGAATTCTTGTTCCCAGATTTATTTTTTTCGTCGAGCCATAATGTCAGCTTGTGATTAGCAAATTACCCCCCCGGGGCTGATGAATAGACCCCGCGGGGCGCGATATTTTTTGTAAGTCACGCGCGCCAGGGGGGGAGGAGGAGAGAGGAGGGGAGGGGGAGAAGGAGGAAACAGAGAAGGAGGAGGACGAGGAAGAGGAGGAGGAGAGGGAGGAGGAGGAGGAGGAGGAGGATGAGGAGGAGGAGGAGGAGGAGGAGGAGGCGGAGGATGAGGAGGAGGGGGAGGAGGCGGAGGAGGAGGAGGAGGAGGAGGAGGAGGAGGAGGAGGAGGAGGAGGAGGCGGACGCTCATTTCAAACCTCGCTCTGCGCCTTTCTCTTTGCCCCGCCGTGGGCGGCGGGCGCGCGTCCTGGTGGAAGCGGGCCCCGGCGGGCTGTCCTCGCTCTCGGGCCGCTGAGGCTTTCGGCGGACCCCCTCTACTGCCCTTGGCGGGCCGCGAGGCCGAAAAACCACCCAGGGCGACCTCCAGGGTCCGGGGCCCGCTTTCTTCAGGGCACGTTTCCGCCGTGGCGAAAAACATTCAGGCCCGAGCGACGATGAGAGCGGCCAGTGGAAGCGGGCGCAGGCAGGGCGGGGGACGGCGGCGACGACGGCGACAGAGGGGGGGAGGAATGGGGGGGGGGTGCGAAGCCTGCTGCGCGCAGCTGGTTCGAGTCGCCCCGCCGAAGGGTCAGTCCTCGACGCATGGCCGCTTTCCGCGCTAGGAGGCGCTTGGCAAATCGGCGATGTGAGCTGCTTGGCAAATCCCCCTTTTGCTGCGCCCCACTTTCGTCCAGGTCGCCTTGCCCGCAGGCCCGCATCGGCTCGACAGGAAGAGGGGCGCCCTGGCTCGCCCTTGCCTCCCGACCCCCCCCCCCTTGCCTCTCGTCGGCGGCCGGGCGTCGGCGCTAATCACCAGCGCCGCCCCGCTGATTTTCAATCTGGCGGCCGCGGCCCCGCGATTCGCCCGAGCAGGGGAACTATTTTTTACAGCGCGCGCACCCCACGGATGTGTTAATCACAAGCTGACATTACGTATGAGTTTCGTAGATCTACGAACATTCTACGCACTTGCATAAGTCCTGCAGCCGTTCCCTTACTCGAATGAGAAACGCTGGCCCTGCTCCCCGAGCGGCCCTCTCAGCCGCTTCGTTTCTGCACCGAGCGGCATGGGAGGCGTGGTGCTGCCGTGTTTCTGCCCATGACGTCACTCGAGCGTGGCTTGAACTGATTTTCATCGGCGAATTTTGGAACATATGTTTTCAGTGGTCGGGAAATAGCGGGAAGAAGAGGAAAGGGAGGAGGAGGAGGTTAATAAGCAGCGGGCGTGGACGCCGCCGCCTTCTCCCTGTCCTGACCATCGGGACGACGCCACCAGCCGGCCCCGCCCTCCTCCTCCTCCTCCTCCTCCTCCTCCTCTTCCTCCTCCTCTTTCCCCCCCCTCCTCCTCCTCCCCCTCCTCCTGCTCCTCCTCCTCCTCCTCCTCCTCCCCTCCTCCTCCTCCTCCTCCTCCTCCCCTCCCCCTCCCCCCCTCCCCCTCCTCCTCTTCTCCTCCTCCTCTTTCCCCCTCCCTCCCCTCGCTCTCCTCCTCCTCCTCCTCCTCCTCCTCCTCTCCTCCTCCTCCCCTCTTCCCTCCTCTTCCTCCCTTCCCTCCTCCTCCTCCTCCTCCTCCTTCCTCCTCCTCCTCCTCCTCCTCTCTCCTCCTCCTGTTCCTCCTACTCCTCCCCCTCCTCCGCTCTCCTCCTCCTCCTCCTTCCTTCTTCCTCCTCCCCCTGCTCGTCCCCTCCTCCTCCGCCTCCTCCTCCTCCTCCTCCTCCTCCTTCTCCTCCTCCTCCTCCTCCCCTCCTCCTCCTCTGCCTCCTCCTCCTCCTCCCTCCTTCCTCCTCCTCCTCCTCCTCCTCCTCCTCCTCCTCCTCCTCCTCCTCCTCCTCCTCCTCCTCCTCCTCCTCCTCCTCCTCCTCCTCCTCCTCCCCCCCCTCCTCCCCTCCTTCTCCTCCTCTTCCTCCTCCTCCTCCTCTCCTCCTCCTCCTCTTCCTCCTCCTCCTCGTCCCTGTCCTCCTCCCCCCTCGCGAAGGGGGGCCGGGCTCGCTCACGCAGCGGCGCGTCGCAGGCCGGCACTTCGAGGTGCCCCTGCAGCAGCTCTTTGCGCGGAGCCCCGCGGCCAGTGGCGGCGGCCAGGACGCCCGGGGCGCCTTCGGGGCGGGGGGCAGTCAGCCGCGCGCAGAGGGGGGTGGGGGGGGGGATGGGGGAGGGCTTCTCAGGAACACCCCTGCTTCTGGGAAGGCGCGGGCCTCATCTATAGATGCAAGGCCGGCGCGTCCTAAGAAGCAGCCTCCCTCTAAGAAGCCCTCCCCCCTCCCTCCACCCCCTTCTCTGTGGGCGCCGCCAAGACAGCGCAGACGGGGGCCGGTCTTCGAAGAGTCGGGATCGTTTTACCAATCCCGATCCCCATCCCCATCCCCTTCGAGACCCCCACCGAATTACCACCCCAGTTGGGGATACACCCCTTGGAAACCGAAGGCAACGACCTATATTCTATATCCCCATGTAGGGGGTAAATCGGCCAGTGGGGCCCAGGCCACGCCGCTGGGGATGGGGATCGGTTGAACGATACTCAAAGAAGAAAATACGCAATACATTGAAGTCGGGCGTCTCCCTGCACAGGAGAAATATACAAAAGTAGTCACAAAATGATATGGGGACGATTTGTTGTATGTGTCGTGTATTATTTGACTATTGTTATGTTCGTCCAAAATCCGCCTGTAGGGGGACACGCCCAATCTGAGGCCAGTCATCGAAGAAGAAAAATCGCATAATTCTTGGATCCGCGCTGGGTCCCCCCAGCGGCGCCTCCGGCGCCGCCTCTGGCGCGCTCCGGGCGCCAGGGAGAGGGGTCCAGCGCAGATCCAAGAAATCTGCCCAGGGTGCCAAACGATTCTGTTTGTACCGATTCTTTGTTCTTCTAAGTCAGAATGCGGGATCTTGCAGCATCTTTCAGGGCCATGGCTGCACTGACCCGGGTCGGCGTGCAGGATCTCTGCAGGATCCTGCGGGATCCTGCAGGGTTCTGCAGGATCTTGCAGGATCCTGCAAGGCCTGACGGGACCGGGTTTGGATTGACCTGGGTCAGCAGATCCCCGAGACGCGTGGGCACAGGTCAGTACACGGTAGTCGTTGAAAGTATGTATTTGGTATATGTATAAATGTAGATGTATCCAGATCCCAATCTATTTAGAGTTCCTGCCTATTTGAAGAAACGCTACATGCTTGCTGATTGTTGTTGTTCGTTGGGCGGGCCCGAGCCCAATGTACGTTATCCGCCTTCTTATTTAATGGTTCGAACTACTTCTTCCGACTGGCGGGTAATGTCTTCTGTTTCGGAGGACAGGGCGCAGCATAAACATAAACTATCGGAGCTCCGCGCGGATTTTTTCGATCGGCGCGGGGGCCCCCTGGCGGCGCCTCCAGTGCCGCTCCTGGCGCGCTTCACACGCCAGGGAGGGTTGCCAAGCGCAGATCCAAGCAATCCGCGCGGAGCTCCGAAAGTTTATGTTTCAGCTTTGCTTTGTTCCTCTACGGTTGTAGCGGCCCAGTCCCCCAACAAACATTCGACACGAACGGCATGGGCACGAAAAGAGTTGGCACACAGACCGACAGCAGTTCGTTTTGGACAGGATTCGTTGCCAGTGTCGCCGCGGATGTTTCCCAATTGAGACTGAAGGTCGCCTGCCCAACAGCGGACTTTTTGAAAAACGTTTGTTGTTGGGCATCGTTCCGGTTGTTTCCGTACCCATTCTGGGCGTCTAAACCCAAGCTCCCCCCCCAAGCCACCCCCCGGTCCCCCGAGTTCTTCTCTTTCACAGAGGGTTAATTGGCATTTTCCAGGGGGGGGGGTCGGAAGATTTCCCACACCAGTCTCTCTGCAGGGCCTTAGGGTGGCCCCAGGTGGCTTCAAGACGGCTTCAGCACCGCCCAAGAGGTCCCCAAGACAGCCCAAGAGGACTCCAAGACGGCCCAAGAGGGCTCGAAGGGGGCCCCCTAAAGCCTAAAGCAAGCATTGATTTTCTGATTGCTTTTGACTGGTTCCAGCGGTATGGCCTCCTCGGGCTTCCGGCTCCCGAAGGCGACTCTTTCAAGATCGCTACAGTACGGCCCAAGGAGCCCTGGAGAAGGCTCCAGGACGGCCCAAGAGGGTCACAATGCGGTCCAAGAGGCCCCCAGGCAAGCCCCGAGACGGTCCACAGAAGCCCGCAAGACAAGCCTTTAAACCAAGAGCGCCCGAAGTTTGCCCGAGACCCCCCAAGCGGCCCCACAAATGAATCCCAGGAGACACAATGCGCACACCTACTCGATGCATTCCGGAAGTGCAGCCCGCGAAGCGAGAACCCACGTCTGGACTGCAGCAAAGCGTCTCGGCAGTCCAAAGGACGGGTGTATGGCGCAAGAACCAAGCCACGATAGGTCAGAACAGTTGCGTATCGCTGCGTCTCCGGTTGCGGTATGATGCTCCCTTCGCCAAGCAAGCCCGCTGAATCCCCCCCAGGGCTCCCTCAGCTGGCGACCATTTTTATTTATTTTTTTTCCATCAGGGCACCCGAAGGTCCCACATGGGCCTATGAGCGTGCAACAGGGCTCCAAGAAGGACCCTTCGGGCCCGGGGCCGTCCAAATCGGCGCAAGATTCTCCCGACATACCAAGATGGCCCAAGACGGCCCCACGCGGTCCCAGACGGCCTAAGGAGGCCACCATAGGATTTCCAAGAGGACCTCGAGAAGGACCGAGCACAGAGTTTCCTTTGGAGGCTGTCAGGTGGTTTTAGCGATCCCGCCCGTCGCCCGAGGAAAGCACAAGAGGCTTCTGAGAGGGCCCCAAGACAGCCAGGGATGGCCCCAAGATGGCCTCTGATGGCCCAGAGACGGCCATCAGACAGCCCCAGTGGGCTCGAGGAAGGCCCAAGAGGCTTGTAATACAGCCGTTGAGGGCCCCAATGCTGCCCAGATAGGCCTCCAAGACGCCCTCCGAAGGGGCCAGGCGGCCCAAGACCGCCCCAAGACGCTCTCAAGAGGCCCTCAGAGGACCTCAAGAAGCCCCCAAGGGGTTTCCAGATGCTTCCCAGAGGCCCCCACGAGGCATCCAAAAGGCTCCCAGGAGGCACCACACGCACATACTCTATACGGGCTGGACGTGCAACCCGCGAAGCGAGATGACTCCACGGCTGCAGGGACTGCCTATGCACGACGTTTGCGGAGTAGACTAGAACCTACGGGCGCGCGTAGCGTGCGTGGTTTTTGTAGCAGCTATGTCCTATTGCCAAAGCTTGTTGTCGAATTGCCTCTTCGCATCCTTTCTTCGTCTATGGCTCCCTGCTTGTTGGCATGAGTCCTGCGACACCTGGCTTCTGTCACTTTGTCCGCCCTCGTCTGGCGACAACCTCCGCTGTACTTGGGCTCAGCCTGGCCAATCAACCCTTCGATCGGCGACTGTAGTCTTAATTCGGGAACGTCCCTCTATAGGATGCTGATTCAAACTTACCCTACCGAGGCAACCCACCTACTTATATTGTGGCTGGAGTGATGATAGCTGAAGTGAAGCATGTGAGAATGATGCTGGTGGCCATTCCCTGCGCACCCCCTATGGTGTCGAGAAAGTGCCACGCCTGTTGCGCCTTGGACGACCGTTTCTGACAGCGGCCGCGCTCAGAGACCACCACCTGCGGACCCCCTACGGTTACGAGAATATGCCACGCCTACTCCGCCAGCGTTCCCCTGTGCCCTGAGCACGACCCGCGCGGATAGCAAACTTGCGTACCGATGTGCCCTGAGCACCACCGTCACGGATAGAGGCCGCGCTCAAGGACCACCCCATGCGCACCCCCTGTGGTGTCGAGAGTATGCCATGCCTGCTATGCCCTGGAGGACCGTCACGGACAGCAGCGCCCTGGACGACTGGCACGGATAGCGACCGCGCTCATGGACCGCCTCTTGCGCACCTTATGGTGTCGGGGAAGTGCCATTCCTGCTATGCCCTGGACGAACGGCGCGGATAGCGGCCGCGCTCAGGGACCACCTATTGCGCACCCCCTATGGTGTCGGGAAAGTGCCACTCCTGCTTTGCCCTGGACGACCGGCACGGGTAGCGACCTCGCTCGGGGACCACCCCCTGCGCACCCCCTATGGTGTCGGGAAAGTGCCACTCCTGCTACGCCTTGGACGACCAGCACGGATAGCGGCCGCGCTCGGGGACCACCCCCTGCGCACCCCTATGGTGTCGAGAAAATGCCACGCCTGCTATGTCCTGCGCCATGGCCCGCATAGACGCCACGCTCGGGGACCACCCCCTGCGCACCCCCTATGGTGTTCGAGAAAGCGCCACGCCTGCTATGCCCTGCGCCACGGCCCGCATAGACGCCGCGCTCGGGGACCACCCCCTGCGCACCCCCTATGGTGTCGAGAAAGCGCCACGCCTGCTATGCCCTGCGCCATGGCCCGCATAGACGCCGCGCTCGGGGACCACCCCCTGCGCACCCCCTATGGTGTCGAGAAAGCGCCACGCCTGCTATGCCCTGCGCCATGGCCCGCATAGACGCCGCGCTCGGGGACCACCCCCTGCGCACCCCCTATGGTTTCCGAGAAAGCGCCACGCCTGCTATGCCCTGCGCCATGGCCCGCATAGACGCCGCGCTCGGGGACCCCCCCCTGCGCACCCCCTATGGTGCCGAGGAGCTGCCACGCCTGCTATGCCTTGCGCCATGGCCCGCATAGACGCCGCGCTCCAGGACCGCTCTCTGCGCACCCCCTATGGTGTCGAGAAAGTACCCCGCCTGCTGTGCCCTGCGCCATGGCCCGCATAAACTCCGCCTTCAGTGACCACCCCCTGCGCACCCCCAATGGTGTCGACAAAACCCCACGCCTGCTGTGCCCTTGACGACTGTCGTGCTGTGCTGTGCTGAGTTGTGCTGTGCTCAGGTGCTATGTTGTGCAGTGCTGTGCTGAGCTAAGCTGTGCTGTGCTGAGCTGTGCTGCGCTGTGTGAGAAGGAGAAGGATGAGGAGGGGCGGTGAGGAGTGAGGGTCGCGGGTGCGAAACGGCAGGGATGCAAACCAGAACCCCACGAAATATGTGGGGAAATAGCCAGACACATAGTCTGGGGATGATCGTTTGAGCATTTTCCCTACCTAGGTTCTGCCTAGAAGGGTTCTTACTCTCTGGGCTTCAATGGGCCGGGCAGTGGAAAGCGCCCCTGGCGGTTCCCCCAGTATCCGCCCCGCGGTTCCCCCAGTTACGTCCCCTTAGCTTAGCGTTGCTTATCTCATCTTAGCTTGGCTTATTTCATATTAGCTTAGCTTAGCTCCATCTTAGCTCAGGTGTATCTTAGCTTAGCTTACCTTCGTCTTAGCTTCGCTGAGCTTTAGCATAGCAGAGCACAACATAGCATAGCATAGCGTAGCATAGCATAGCGCAGCACATCATCTCATAGCATAGCCCAGCATAGCATAGCATAGCGCAGCATGGCATATCATAGCATAACATAGCGCAGCACAGCACAGCACAGCATAGCACAGCGTAGCATAGCATATCATAGCATAGCATATCACAGCATAGCAGCAAAGCAAAGGCAACGCACCAGCAGCGACAGCAAAGCAAAGCACACGCAACGCAAAGCAAAGCAAAGCAACAGCAACAGCAAAGCAAAGGAAAGGCAACGCAAAAGCAATGTGTCGCTCGTGTGTGCCAACCGCGTTGCCAGTTTAGTTTTCTGTTCGGATAATTCGCATGGGTGTAATTCCCTACCTAGGCTCTGCCTAGAGGGTTAGCTCAGCTTAGCTTAGCAAGGCAGCGCTGCATTAGCATAGCATAGCATAGCATAACATAGCCAAACATAGCATAGCATAGCATAACATACCATAGCGCAGCATAGCATAGCATAGCATAGCATAGCATAGCATAGCATATCATAGCATAGCGCAGCTTAGCATAGCTTAGCATAGCATCGCATATCATCGCATATCATAGCATAGCCTAGCACAGCGCAGTATGCTAGCTTATCATAGCATAGCATAGCATAGCATATCGCAGCACAACGCAGTATATCATATCATAGTATAACATAGCATCGCATAGCGCAGCATAGCATGGCATATCATAGCATAGCAACTAATGCTGGTTTCCTAGGGGCTCCAACTTGTAGGTAGGGTCGCACTGGGGTAATTTCAATTCATTTTGATCATTCTTGGGGTATTTTTTGGTTTTTCGTCCGAAATCCATCTGTAGGGGGACATGCCCGACCTGTAGTCGGTACTCGTTCCCACGAAGACCTGCGAAGGCCTCGATCCCTCCCGGCTGGGCGATCCACGCGGCAGCCGAGACTTGGCACCGCTCGGACGTGTGTGGCATCTCCTCGGCGAGGACCGCCGAGGCACAGCTGGGGCCCCTCTTGCGGAAGCCTGCGCGCACGCAGCCGAACGGAGGCACCCGGGCTTGGCCGTCCGGGCGATGGCGAGGAGACCAGCGCCGGTCGCCTTACGTCGGGCCTGTCCCTCCACACGAGGAATCTTCAAACATCGTAAAAAATGGTCCGGGGACATTTTTTAAAAATCATTTTTGAACACTTTTGAACTTTTTTTTTTGTCGTTCGTTCAAAATCCGCCTGTTCAGGAGCGAAAGAAGGACGTATATGTACATGAGTCCACGCTGGTTTCGAGAGCACGCATAGCACAAATGTTCGTATAACGCGGCCGGTCTCGCGAATCGAGGGGCCGTGTTCATGTACATAGCTGGGCGCGTACGTCCTTTGTGGGCTCCCTACTGTAGGGGGACATGCCCGACCCAACGCTCGCCGTCACGGCGCGAGCCCGCTGCACCCTTGGCGGCCCGCCACGCCCTCGCCTCGGAGGCCCGGCCCGGCCCGCGCGGCGCCCCTTCTGGGCAGACAGTGGAGGAGGTGCAGTCGGGACGCGCACACTGGAGACCCGATGCCAGGAGACCCCTTCAGGGCTCGTTTTGATTCCTCCGATTCGATTCGATTCGACTTCGATGGATTCCGATTCCGATTCGAATCGACTTCGGATTTCGATTTGGGATCAGATTTCTCAATGGAGGCCTATTCGCCTGCCGATTCACGCCGATTCGACTTTTCCCGACTCGGCTGCCGATTTCCGCCGATCCGATGTATGTCGATCGCCGATCCGACTTATCGATTCGATTCTGGGCCCTCCTGGTGTCTTGCGTTTCAGTGGTTCTGCTGCGGCAGGCGTGACGCTCCCGCAACAGAACTCGATGGACGCCCTGGGGCCTCAGGGTTTTGGAGTTCTCGTGAAAGTTGTCTTGTGGTCGGGCTTCTACTGCATTTCGGGCGGTGGCAAGGACGCAAGGCCCTTGGGGGCCGGAGTTGGGATTTGTTGGGCGACGGGCGACCCGTGAAAACGGCAACAGGACGGGCAGCAGAGGCAAGGGCACAAGGGTGCCCTAGATGAAGGCGCGCGTCCTGACTAGGCGTGTTGACTGTATCCTGGCTTGCCCAAGGGCCCACAAAGGAATGTTCTGAGGACCTTTTGTGGATTACACGAGATGTTCTTCGGAATGCTCTGGCTGAGGCCGTCTGGTGTTCAAACATCAGCTGTATATGTTTTTAAGCGTGTGTTTGTTCGGAGAACATTCCGCGGTCAGCCTGCAGGAATGCATGGAAATTGGGGGTGACCTAGCTTGGGGGGTTGTGAAGACAAGGGCCCTGCATGAGACCATCACAGGGCCTGCTTGGGAGCTGGCAGGGGCCCCCAAAATGGGCCTCAAAGGGCCCCATTTGCGACCCTCTCCTTGGCCCCCCCACCCAGGTCCCCCCCTGCGTTGTCTTCCGACGACAGCACGGCCAGGCACGGCCGCAAGGATTGTCGGACTGCTTGATCTTATTTCGGGGGGAGAAGCAACAAAAACTAACAAACAACAGGTGCCTCCCGCCCGTTCTTTCTCTCTCCCCGGCAGGACGGCCCCGGCGCCGGGCGCTGCGCGCTGCGCATCCGGCAGAAGGCCGAGGCGCCGCCCCTCGCGGCCGGGCCCCGCCGCCGTCGCCCTCGGTGTGCGAGCGGCGCGGGTCGGAGGCAGAGTGGAGGGCTTCTCCGAGGGTCTTGGGCGGCCCCTGCTCCCCCTCCTCCTCCTCCCTCCTCCTCCTCCTTCTCCTCCTCCCTTCTCCTCCTCCTCCTCCTCCTCCTCCTCCTCCTCCTCCTCCTCCTCCTCCTCCTCCTCCTACCTCCTCCTCCTCCCCTCCTCCTCCGCCATCCCCCTCCTCGGGTCGCCTACGGCCCTGGGGGAAACCTCCAAGGCGGAGATGTATGCATGAGCACCGCCTGGAGGATGGAGATTTTTGGAGACCTCGGCCGTCGGTGGATATGTCATGGTGCCAGCATCGCAGAGTGGATTTCGTTTGGAAAACGGTAGGATGGACCTGGACTGTCCTGGATCATTTCGCTCTGGATGTCGATGTAAATTTCGTGTGGATGTTTTTGTTTAAATTGTGTTTTCGGAAATGAAGACTAACAACAAATTTGCGCGAAATTCACTTCGTTTTTCACTCGCCGCTTCGGGGTTTGCATTGACGGAAATCCAAGCAACAATTTGCTGCAGCACGTCTGCAAGGTCGGTGCAGTGAGATATGGGTATATTCGGCCCCTGGGTCACAACTGTGTATTCCTATGCACCGCCCAGGTGGGGCCTCAGGACGTCGGTTCCACAGGCGGCGGATTTGGACGTATCCCCGCCTGGGCACCAAGACCGACAGCCTTTTCTGCCCAAGTTGAACAAGGCTCACTGTCCGTGCCGCCGCGGACGTTGTCCATTTGAGAAACAAGCGTCTGCCCATCAGCGGGCGCTGCCGATTTGGGACAACATTTGCTGCTGGGCATCATCGTGCCCATGTGTCCCGTCCCGAACTTCCACCGCTTCGAGAAAGCTGCGCGGCAGTTCTTCTGAGTTTGGGACGTCTTGTTGTGCTCGCTGGCGGCCCAGCACGGTCACTCGGCAGACCCAGGATGGGAAGCCGACCCTGGGGGGACAGGGGGGAATCTCTGGGGGACCCCGTATGGATTGGGGCCGGACGACAGGGGGGGATGGGGAACGAGAGGGGGGATTGGGAACGAGAGGGGTTTAGTCAATTGCCCAATCGTGTTGTTTGGGAGCCGACTTCGCAGTCATGAGCTTCAGGCCGGTACTCAAGCCGGGCGCACAGAGCTACAGACAAGAATACAGAGAGACCGCGCACAACGTTGGGGTGCTTGATTGCGAAGGCGACGATACAGAAACTACACCAGAGGAACACCCCAATCAGTGGATGGTTTTCGATAAAGGAGATAGACCGGGAACCTGGACCAGCGTCCGCCGCGGCCGCGCCTGCCGCAGGTCCCGCCTGCGGGGGCTCGTCTCCTTCAGCACGCCTCTTCTTCGCCATGCGCTCCTTCGCGCGCTCCTGCATCCCCTTCGTCCTGTCGCACCACTGCGAGACCTGCTCCGCCTTGGACTGCGCGCTCTCCTTTGGCCGCGTCCAGCTCCAGCTCGATCCTCCTCCACTCGGCCTTCTCCTCGTCTCCGCAGTCGAGGTCGTCGATGCTGCCGAAGAAGTTGGTGTCCCACGACAGGTCGATGCGCGGCGCGCCTGGCGCAGCGGCTGGCTCGGGAGCAATCCCCGTGGCCTCTGCCGGAGCCGCCGCCGCGGTGCGCCTGCGGATCCCAGCCAGCACCAGGGCACGCTCCGTCCTCCGCGCGCTCCGCGAGCGCGCGGGAGGTCGAGGGCGCACCGCTCCACCTGCGCCCGAGCCTGCTCCCACTTTCAGAGCCCCGAATCATCAGGGGTAACTCGGGTCGGGGATAACACGGGTTCCTTTTTCGGGAATCCAAACCCGAGTTACCCCGGACCCGAGTTACCCCGGATAACTCGGGCGCCCAACACTTGGCTGAGGCGTCACGCCGGGCGCCCGACGTGGAGCGCACCGCCTCCTCGGCGGGCACGCTCTGCGTCGTGGTCGCTGCCGCGTGCGCCTGTCCCGGCTGCTGCTCCAGGATGATCTTCACCGAGGGGTCCTGCACCACCTTGAGCGCGGCCTCCAGCGCGGCGACGGCGTCGGTTGCTGCCCTTGTCGCCTTTGGCTTTCATATTGAACAAAGTCAGCTTGACGCCGTACTTGCCACACTTCGCACCCTGGTTGACGAGGATGCGATTCCATTCACACTTGCCGCAGCATGACACTTGATCCAAGGGTCGGTCGCCGATGAAGCACCTGACGTCTGCTGCTCAGATGTTCTCTTACCCTTGCCTCCCATGGCTCACTACTCTGATGCGTCCCTTTAGCCAACCCGCGCAACTGACCGAACATGTGTTGACAGAAAGACCGGTCAGCCGCGGGTGCCACTCAAGCACCACGTATGAGGCGGACGTCTTTGCCCAGGCAACATGCATGGGCCAAAGTGGCTTGGGAGGAGGAGGAGGAGGAGGCGGAGGAGCAGGAGGAGGACGAGGAGAACGAGGAGAACGAGGAGCAGGAGGAGGACGAGGAGAACGAGGAGAACGAGGAGGAAGAGGAAGAGGAGGAAGGAGGAAGGAGGAAGAGGAGGAGGAGGAGGAATCATGGAAATAGGGTTTAATGCTAATTATCAGATGGAAACACACTATTCAAGAGATAATGATAACAATACTGAGGCAAATACTACTTCTAAACATACTCATCAGGTTTTGTTATCATAAGGTTTTGTTTATCAGAGTGAGGGGGCTGAACCGAACGGTCATTCACTGTCCCTGGGTGCGTGGCTGAAGTGGAATTCCAAGATGCGGACTATTGTTGTTGTTGTTGTTGTTGGTGGTGGTGGTGGTGGTGGTGGTGGTCGTGGTGGTGTTGTTGTTGTTGTTGTTGTTGTTGGTGGTGGTGGTGTTGTTGTTGTTGTTGTTGTTGTTGTTGTTGTTGTTGTTGTTGTTGTTGTTGCTGCTGCTGTTGTTGTTGTTGTTGTTGTTGTTGTTGTTGTTGTTGGTGTTGTTATGTTTGTTGTTGTTGTGGTTGTTGTTGTTGTTGCTGTTGTTGTTGTTGTTGTTGGTGTTGTTGAAGTTGGTGTTGTTGTAGTTGGTGTTGTTGTTGTTGTTGTTGTTGTTGTTGTTGTTGTTGTTGTTGTTGTTGTTTGTTGTTGTCCTCGTCCCGCACGCGACCCGCCCCGCGACCCACCCGCGACCCACCCCGCGACCCACCCCCGACCCACCCGCGACCCACCCTGCGACCCACCCGCGACCCACCCCGCGATCCACCCGCGACCCACCCGCGACCCACCCGCGACCCACCCCGCGAACCGCCCGCGACCCCCCGACCCATCCGGACCCACCGCGACCCACCGCGACCCCCGCGACCCCCGCGACCCACCCCCGCGCGACCCACCCGCGACCACCGCGACCCACCCCGCGACCCACCCGCGACCCACCCCGCGACCCACTCCAAATTTTCGGCGCCTGCGAAGGGTTTCTTTTGCATTCGTTCCAGGTGGACAACCTGCGACCCACCCGCGACCCAAACCACGCCCGAGACCCACCCGCGACCCACCGCGACCCACCCGCGACCCAAACCACGCCGGCGGCGGATTTCGCATGCCGTCTGAGCCCCCCGAGACCTCTTCAAGCTCCGCTCATCCACACCAACCCATCCAGCAACCGTACCCTGGCGAGTTGCCAGGATCAGAGAAGTCGGGGAGCATTCAGTGGAACAAAGGATTGGTTTGCCGCTATCTTGAGAGAATGGGCGAGGCAGAGGATTCAACAGGAGACGAGGAGGACACGGAAGAAGATATGATGGACGGAGAATGTGGAGCAATAAAAGGAGGAGGAGGAGGAGGGAAAGGAGGAAGTGGAGGAGGAGGTGGAGGAGGTGGAGGCGGACGACGACGACGACGACGACGATGAGGACGAGGACGCGGACGAGGAATAGGAGGAGGAGGAGCAGGAGGAGGAAGAGGAGGAGTCCCTAATGGCTCGTCCAAACGATGTGCCGGAACAGCGCGTTGTCGTTCATAGGCACGTTGTTGGCGCAGCAGCAGCCATTCGGACGCCTTGCCGGCGTGCGTCCCCGGACCAGAGGTGTCCTTCCACAGTGGGCATGCTCAGTCCGATGGGGGTTGGCACATCATGCGTATTTTTGATATTCAGGACGCGGACGAGGAAGAGGAGGAGGCGGAGCAGGAGGAGGAGGGCGCCATCGACAGGGAAGGTGAAGGCCGCGAGGTCCGCTGGCTCGACGCCCGCGTCGCCCGCGCCCGCCCCCTCACTCTTATCCGTTGTTGCGGGATGCTACGGAATGATGATATGATGAAGCAGGCGAACAATAATACTACGATTGACCGAGTAATAGCAATGCCAACACTAATAACAGTAGTACTAACAAGACTAAAAAGAGGAGGTGAGAGGAGGGGGAGGATGATGAGGAGGAGGAGGGGGAGGATAAGTAGGAAGACGATGGGGGGGTCGCGAGGGGCGACGGCGTCGAGGCGAAGAGGAGGAGGAATGTGATGAGGAGGAGGTGGAGGAGGATGAGGAGGAGGAGGAGGAGGAGGAGGAGGAGGAGGAGGAGGAGGAGGATAGACCTCCCCCCAAGCTGCAATTCCCGCTCTGGCGGGGGGGAGGCCTGCGTCCATTGGATGATTGTGATGCCACCATCCCGAGCCCGAGGAGGGGGAGAAGGAGGCGGAGGCGGAGGAGGAGGAGGAGGAGGAGGAAGAGGAGGAAGAGGAGGAGGAGGAGGAAGAGGTTCGATTGGTCGTCTTCGGAGGTGAAAGACATGCTCTTAACTGCTAGGCGGGGGCCGCTTCCTGGGAACACCCGCCGAAGCTGGCCAACAAGAACCCAAGAGCCAGTGCCAGGAGGAGGAGGAGGAGGAGGAGGAGGAGGAGGAGGAGGAAAAGGAGGAGACACAGGAGGAGGCGAGAACAGAGGATGTGAGAAAAGGCCAGAAGAGGCCAGAATAAGCAAGGAACGCGAGAGGCCTTCCGGCGCGCCCGCCGCCCCGCGCTTGAGGCTTTCCGGCGCGAGGCGGGCCCCAGAAGGCTGCACGGCGCCGGGGCCCTGGCGGACGGCGCTGCGGAGGGCGAGGACGCGACCCGCAGCCGACGCGGCCTCTCCCGTCCTCGCCTCCTCCGCCATCCCCGATTCCCTCATCCTCCGTACTCAGTTCTCTCCATCCTCCTGCACTACACCTCCTCCCTCCTCCTCCGCCTCCTCCTCGTGTTCTTCTTCCTCCTTCTCATGTCTACGCACCTAACAGTTAAGAGCATGTCTTTCACCTCCGAAGACGACCAATCGAACCTCTTCCTCCTCCTCCTCCTCTTCCTCCTCTTCCTCCTCCTCCTCCTCCTCCTCCGCCTCCGCCTCCTTCTCCCCCTCCTCGGGCTCGGGATGGTGGCATCACAATCATCCAATGGACGCAGGCCTCCCCCCCGCCAGAGCGGGAATTGCAGCTTGGGGGGAGGTCTATCCTCCTCCTCCTCCGCCTCCTCCTCCTCCTCCTCCTCCTCCTCCTCCTCCTCCTCCTCCTCCTCCTCTTGTCCGTTCTCCTCCTTCTCATGCCAACACACCTACAGCTCCTCCTCCTCCTCCTCCTACCTCCTACCTCCTACCTCCTACCTCCTACCTCCTACCTCCTACCTCCTACCTCCTACCTCCTACCTCTCCTTCCTTCCCGTCCTCCTCCTCCGCCTTCCCCTGCTCCTCATCGTCCTCCCACTCCTCCTTCCTCGCCGCATGTGCTCGTCAAGACCCCTACCGACGCGGGACCGCTTTCCGCACGGCCCAGGGGAACCCTTTGGGGCCTGTGGCCCATCGTGAAAGCCGCTGGCCTTGTCTGCGGCCTACGACCAGCAGCCAGGTGCCCTGGAAGCTCGTTGCTGCGGTCCCCTTTCGGTCCCTCCTTGAGCTTGGCATCGCTCGGACGTGTGCATTTTTCCTTCGGCGAGGGCCATCGAGGAGCATCCTTGATCATTTGGAGAAAAAAACACGCACGAAACCGAACAAAGCACTGGGAATAGACGTTCGAGCGATGGCGAGTGAGAGCTCCCACAGCAGTGCGAGTTGCGTCACACGAAGGCTGCACACCTCAACTCGACGCATCCCTTGGCGCTGGGACGCAGTTCCCGCCCGGGCGGCCGCGCGAGGGGTGCGCGTCGCCCTGCTGGAGAGCTGCTCCGACGGCGTGTGGGAAGGCAAGAGGAGGGGCTATGGGAAGGCCTCCCTCCCTGGCCCTATGAGGATGGCCTTGTCGTAGTCGGTGCCTCTGTTGCACCGTATGTTTGTATATTCGTGTGGTGGTATGCATGTATGTATGCATGCATGCATGCAGGCATACATGCATGCATGCATACAGGTGGGTATATATGCTTATATGAACGTATGCATCAATGCATTGCATGCCTACATGCATGTATGTCTAAACGTATGTACGTATGCATGCATGCATGCATGCATATTCGCCTGCATATACGTATATGTGTGCATGCATGCATGCATGTCTGTCTGTATATATGCGTGCATGTATGTGTGGACATATGTATACATGTATATAGAGATGCGTGAATGATACGTGTGTAGATGTATATGCATGTGTATACCTGCATGTACGCAGGAACGTCTGTGATTTCTGTACACATGCAGATTTGCTCGCACGTCTATGTATATGTATGCATGCATATATGTATGAGTATATGTGTGCATGCATGTATGTAGGTATGTGTGTGTGAATGAAGTTATGTATGTATGTATGTACGTACGTACGTACGTGTGTGTATGTATGCATGTGTGTATGTATGTATATATTGTGTGTATGTAGGTATGTATACATGTTTACACGCGTATACATGACTGCGTGCATGTACATATGTATTCACGTATGTGTTCATGCATGTAGGTAGGTAGTTATGTAGGAAGGTAACCGTGCATGCATGTATTTGCTATATAGGCATGTATGCATGCATGCACGCATGTAGGCACGGATGTACGGATGCATGTATGGATGGATGGCTGGATGGATGCCTGTATGCATGTACGTATGCAGGCAAGCGTGTATGTACATCTACATATGTGTGTATGCTCTAGATGCTCCTTCGATTGCAGCCTGATAGGCCGTCTTGCCTGGGCACGGTGCTCAGTGAATTGTGGTGTGCTACGCCACTGGAGGACTGCCTCGGTTATGGTTGGGCAGAGCGGCCTGGGCGACGGGCGGAGGTGGTCGACGCGGCCAGCCTCATCGACTCCCCTCACCAAGGCAACCCTCTGCCTCGCGTGCGCCGAAGTGGACGCGATTGGTTCAGGAGGGCAGCGGCGACCAGCCTCCAGGAGCACGGCGGCGCATGCACGGCGCGCATGATGTGGGCGGCATGGACCTCCGGGTGATGCCCGGGCCGCGGTGCAGAACGCCTTTTCCCCCTCGTCCTCGCCCCCCTCCTCTGCTCCCACTCTCCCCTGCTGCGGCTGCTGCTGCTGCTGCTGCTGCTCCTACCGCAGGTTCGCGCCGCGTCGAGGCGGCAGGGACTCTGCCACGGGCGTTGAAGGTAGGACACAGCCTGTGGCCCGCAGTCGGCCGGCACCAAAAGGCCCCCGATGTTCGGAGAGCCGCGATCGTCCAGGGCTCCACGGCCCCACGCGAGGCCAGAGACCAGTGCCTGGGCCGCCACGACGAGCACTCGCCGTGCCTCACGCGCTTCTCCCCCGAGATCCGACTGCGCGGCGAGGCATCCGGTGAGCGGGGCCCTGAGCCCCACCCCTCTCGCAGCACCTCTCGGGCCGGCTCGATCCGCGGGGGCCCTGGGCCCGACACAACGGGCGAACGCGCGCCGAGCGAGCAGCATCGCGGGGTGCGTCCGCGCTGCGCTGCACTCGTTGGTGATGGTCTTTCCACTGGCATGGGCACCCTCGGCCGAAGGCCGAGGAAAGCAGCGGTGGGTCGCAGGCGATTTTTCTCCCCCAATCCCCGAGTTCCACCCGAAAAAATTGGCCGCTTATACAAGGGGGGGAACCCTGGGGTACACCCCAAGGGGGCTCTTCGGATGCACTCCTATCGAGGATGGACGTCCTTCCATCTTGTATCCCAGGGTCGGGCCCCACATTTCTGGTCCACTCCAGAACACCACGAAGCCTGGGATAGGGGTCGACATATCCCCTGTCAGTGGGCGAGGAAGAGACCAGCCAGAACTCGCCTATGGCTACTCCGAATTTCTTGAGAAGCGTCGGGGGGGGGTGACACCCGCCGACAGCCCCGCATCGACCCCCGTCGCGGGCAGCCACCGCGCGCCGAAGGCGCTCCGGCCTCCGTCGCGGCGCGGTTGACCCCCGTCGGGGGGGTACCCCCCCACGCTTATTTTGGGTATCGTTTAGCCAATCCCCATCCCCACCCTCGTCCCCTTCGAGACCCCCACCAAATTACCCCCCCAGTTGGGGATACACCCCTCGAAACCCGAAGGGAACGGCCTATATCCCCATCTAGGGGGGTAAATCGGCCAGTTGGGCCCAGGCCACGCCGCTGGGGATGGGGATCGTTTAAACGATATTCAAACTAAGAAACCCAGAGTGCTACCGGCCGGGGTGCGCCCGCGCAGGACGAGCCGTGGATCCTGGGCGGCGGCTTCCTGCGCCTCTTCGTGGCGGTGCTCGACTTCGGGACGGGGCGGCTCGGCATCGCGGAGGCGCCTGGTGTGCCTGGCGGCGCCAGTGCAGAGCGGGCTGGCGCTTCGCGCCTCTTCGAGGCCCGAAGTTGATGCTGCTGCTGCTGCTGCTGCTGCTGCTGCTGCTGCTGCTGCTGTTGTTGTTGTTGTTGTTGTTGTTGTTGTTGTTGTTGTTGTTGTTGTTGTTGTTGTTGTTGTTGTTCTTGTTGTTGTTGTTGTTGTTGTTGTTGTTGTTGTTGTTGTTGTTGTTGATGTTGCTGTTGATGTTGATGTTGCTGTTGATGGTTTTGCTGCTGCTGCTGCTGTTGCTGCTGTTGATGTGTGGTTGTTGCTGTTAATATTGCTGTTGCTGTTGTTGTTGTTGTTGTTGTTGTTGCTGTTGTTGTTGTCGTTGTCGTTGTCGTTGTCGTTGTTGTTGCTGCCGCTGTTGTTGGTGTCGTTGCTGTTGGTGCATTTGACCTTTCATTTCTGAAGGATTATTATAGTTGATCCCCCCTCACCAGTGCATACTGTTTTTTCGCAATCAAAGTGTGCCCCTCGACGTTCGCACCCTGTTTTTTTGACCAGGAAAACCTTGGTGCTCAAACTTTGCCCCTGGCCCCCCCGGATTACAACAACAACGGCTACCGCTTAAGACTTCCTCACAATTTAGCCAGGACCCTCGCTCCCGCCCGAGACTTCCTCGAACTTTACTCAGGAATCGCGCTCTCTCGATTTATTCAGGAATCGCTCTCCTGGCGATGTGGAGTCGCGCTCTCGCTGGAGACTTGCTTGCAATTTACTGAAGGATAGCGCCCTTACGTCGGAATTTCCTACAACTTGCTCAAACGCCGCGCTCCCGACACCCAGGCACCCAGGAGTCGCGCCCGTTGTGGCCCCATGTGCATGCCCTTCGTGGCCCCGCTGTCGCCGTTTGTGGCCGCCTCACTATCTCACGTGGCCCAGGTGCTACCCTCAGTGGCCCCATCGTTTCCTTCTGTGGTCCCGCATTATCTGCCCTTCGTGGCCCCCGCTCGTTCGCGCCTTTCGTGGCCCCGTACGCATTCCCTTCGTGTCCCCGCTGTCGCCCATCGTGGGTCACTTCGTGTCCTTAGTGGCCCTGCTGTCGTTCTCTCTTGCTCTCGCTTTCGCTCGTCGTCGCCTTCGTCGCCGCCGTCGTCGTCGACGTCGTCGTCGTCGTGGTCGGTCCCCTGTCCGTCCCTCTTGGCGTCGGGTCGACGGTCCGCGGCCGCCTCGCCGATCAGCGCTGCCGCTGGCCAGGCCGACGGTCCGCGGCCGCCCCACCGCTTGCCGGGGCCCGGCCTGCAGGGAAGAAAAGTATACCCCCCAGAAGGGGTTCGATCGAAGACGAAGAGGGCGGGCATCGAGGTTTTAGGGAATATGCGTTATTGGACACTCGAGCAGATAAGGGCGAACAGTCTTAAGATGATTGTTGTTGTTTGTGTTGCTGAAGTTGTTGTGGTTGTTGTTTTTGCTGGTGTTGTTTATGTTGATGTTGTTGTTGATCGTTTTGTTGTTGTTGTTGCTGCTGTTGACGCTGTGGCTGTTTATGTGGATGTTGCTGTTGCTGGTGTTGTTGTTGCTGTGAGTGTTGTTGCTGTGGTTGTTCGTGTTGTTGCTGTTGCTGTTGTCTTTGGCGTTGCTGTTGAAGAATAATTTTTAAACGTGGTATTGTTGATCCCCCTTTACCGGTGCATGTTGTTTTTCTCAATCAAAGTGTGCCCTCGACGCGTGCACCCTGTGTTTTGAAAAGGGAAAGTCTTGGTTTTCAAACTGTGCCCTTGCCCCCCCGGGCTACAATAATATGTTACAATAATAACGGCTCCCGCCTGAGACTTCCTCCGAATTTACTCAGGACCCCCGCTCCCGCTGGACACTTCCTCTGACTTTACTCAGGATCGGTGCTCCCGCTTGCGATATCTTCGCAAATTAATCAGGACTCCCGCCCCCATCTGATACTTCTTCACAATTTACTCAGGAGCGGTGCTCCCGCTTGAGACTTCTCCGCAATTGAGGGAGCCCTCTCGTAATTTAATCAAGACCCCCGCTCCCGCCAGAAAACCTTTACATTTGATTCAGGAATTGCGCTTTCGCTTGTGAGTTCCATGCGAGTGATTCAGAAATCGCGCTTTCGACGCTCAGGAAACACGCTGCGCCAAGGACGTCACAAGTTACTTACGAAACGCGCTGTCGCCATACTCAGGCATCCCGCCTGAATGTCCCACCCGCCTGACCCGCCCGTCAGGGGATCGCCCGCCCGTCGTGGCTTCCCGCCCGAGAACTCCTTCAGGAACGGCGCTTTCGCTTAGGACTTTTTCGGATGTTCACGCTCTTACATTCCTGCTCCTCCTCCCTCTCCCTCCTCCCTCCTCCCCCCTGTCCTCCTTTCTCTCTCCCTCCTCTCTTCCCTCATCCTTATGCTCCCTCTCTGCCCTATCCCCTCTCCCTCCTCCCCCTCCTCCCCTCTCCCTTCCCTCTCCTGTCTCCTCTCTCTTTCTTTCTTTCTCTCTCTTCCCTCCCTTTCTCTCTTGCCCTACCTCTATGTCTTTCTCTACCTCTCTCTCTTTCCTTCTGCCTCTACTCAACCGCCCCCCTCTTCGCTCGTTCTCTCCTGGTGTGTCCCTCTTCCTTCGTCCCCCCCTCCCTTCCTCCCACTCTCTCTCGTTCTCCCCCTCCTCTTTTTGCAAGGCCCGCACCAATTCCAATGGCGGGCGCATGTACGCCCACGAAGGATTGTCCGCCCGTTCAGGTTTGCCCGCGTGTCTAAGCCCGCCGCCCCCCGCAAAGAGAAATCATCCCACCAAAGGGGTGAGATGGAAAACAAAAAGGGGGGTATCGGGGGTGTGGGAACCCGTTTTGAATGACACACGGGCAAGTAGGAACGAACAGTCTTATAATTGGTGTTTGTGTTGCTTTTGTTGTTGTTGCTGTCGTTGTTACTGGTATCGTTGTTGCTGTTGCTGGTGTTGTTGTTGCTGTTGTTATCGTTGTTGCTGTCGTCGTTGTTGAATTTCCATTCGTAAAGAAATAAGTAGTGTCGATCTCCCCTCTGGTAACCGTTCTATGTTTCAATCGAAGTGCCAACCTCGGGGCTCGCACCCAGTTTTTGATCAGGAAATGCTTGGTGCCACCAAGCGGCGTTGGGCCCAGAAGTACAACGACAATGGCTCCCGCCTGATACCTCACAATGTACTATGATTTCGTGCTCTCGCGCGGACCTCTTCACAAGTTATAGAAGAACCGCGCTCTCGTGCAGGACTCCCTCGCAATGTATTCAGACGCCGCGCCTTCGACACTCAGGAAACACGCTCTCGCTTTGTTTTCCTTCACGAATTGCACTATCGCTTGAGCTTTCCCCGCGATCCATGCAGTGCCCACGCTTCAGCAGCCCGCCTGTTCGACCTGGCCGTTCGGGCCCGCTTTCTCGACCCGCCCGTCAAGGTATACCCGCCCCATGGGCCCACTTGTTTTCTGCCTTTAACCCCCATCTTGCTAAGCCCGTTTTCGATCCTTTTTCCCTCCCCCTTATATTTGTCTTTTCTTTTCCACGCGGCAGGTAAAGGAAAACATCCCCCCCCAGGAAGGGACACGATCGAAGACGAAGAGGGCGGGTACCGAGGGCTTGGGGTATAGGTGTTGAATGTCACGCGTGCAGGTAAGAGCGAGCAGCCTTAACATGGTTGTTGTTGGTATCGTTGCTGCTGTTGCTGTTGCTGTTGTTGTGTCTGTTTGGTTTGCTGTTGCTATTGCTGCAGCTGCTGCTGCTGTTGCTGTTTCTGTTGCTGTAGTTATGGCTGTTGCTGTTGCTGTTGCTGTTGCTGTTGAAGCTTCACTCTTGCAGAGTAATTCTGGTTGTGATCCCCCTCAACTGGTGCACGTTGTTTGTGTTCAATCGTTGTGCCCCCCCGCGGCGCGCAGCTTTTTTAATCGGGGGGAGTCTTCGTGCTAAAACTGTGCCCCTGCCCCCCCGGCTACGATCGCGCTCTCGCGTAAGACGTCGCAGTTGATTCAAACGCCGCGCCCTCGACACTCAGGAATCACGCTATCGCTCTGCTTTTCCTTATGGTTTACTTGGGAATCGTGCGATCACTTGAGTCATTTGAGATTTCCTCGCGACTAATGCCGGACTCACGCTTCAGCAACCCGCCTGCTCGACCTGGCCGCTTGGGTCCGCTTTCCCGACCCGCCAGCCAGGGTCTGCCCGTCCGATCTGCCCGTTTTGTTCTACCACATGTTTTCTGTTCCTAGCCACCTTTCTGCTAATTTCGCTCGTGGTCAATCCTTCTCCCTCCCCCTTCCATCCGTCCTCTTTTCCCTTGTTTTGGGGGGCTGCCCGAATGTCACGGGGCAGATAAGGAAGACATACCCCCAGGGGGGTACCATCGAAGACGAAGATGGCGGGAATGAAGGGTTTCGGATCTGTGATGCGCGTGTCGGATGGCACGCGAGCAGGTCAGAGTGAGGGGGCCGAACGGTCATTCACTGTCCCTGGGTGCGTGGCTGAAGTGGGGATCCACGGCGAGGGTTCTGCTTGTTTTGTTGCGTCGTTCCCACCGAGACCCGCCCGCGACCCACCCGCCACCCACTCGCGACCCACCCGCGACCCACCCCGCGACCCGCCCGCGACCCACCCGCGACCCACCCACCCCGTGACCTACCCGTGACCCACCCACCCCGCGACCCACCCGCGACCCAACCCGCGACCCACACCATGTTGCTTGTACAACAGCAAAGAATCGGCGCCTGCGGCGGGCTTCACTGCAGTGATTTAGGGGAGTGTCACCACAGCGCGACCCACCCGCCGACCCACTCGCGACCCACCCCGTGCCCGCGACTTACCCCGCGACCCACCCGCCACCCACCCCGCGACCCGCCCAGCGACTCGCACCATGTTGATTTTATAACAGTCGAAAAAGAATCGGCGCCTGCGCCGGGCTTCGTTGCATTGGTTTTGGGGAGTGCCACCACCGCGCGACCCACCCGCCGACCCACTCGCGACCCACCTCGCGACCCATCCGCGA